GAATTCTGGGAGTTGAAGTCCACTCATCTTAAAGTGGCCAAGTTTGGATAACACTGGTCTACAGCCTCAGCAGAATGAAGTCTTCATCTGGGCACCAAAAGAATAGCAAAAGTGAGTTCTTAGCCATCCTCTCCAGAGATGGAGGCTGTAGAAATGCTGCCATGGAGACGGAGACCGCCCCTGACTCTGACACTGAAGATGATGTCATCCCCATGCAGTTTATACGGAGAACATTTTACTTTATTTTATTTATTAAATTTATATACTGCCCGACTCCCAACAACTCTGGAGGACTTGTGAATTAGTTTGTATTGCTATCTGATTTTTAAATATCCCTTTCATCATCTAAGCTGCTTTCACCATTTTAATGGAATGAGGACATACAACTTTTGTTGTTGCTGCTATTGTTATTGTGGATTTTTATAGGAATGTGTTTGGGTGGCTCCATCCATCACTCTTCCTAAGAACATGCTTGCCATATTTCTGTGTTCTGCTACACTGGATGTACCTAGACATTATAATCAGTGGCTGGAAATAGTTGAGAAGAGCTTCACTCATCTACTGTGGATAATTGCCGTGTACCACCCAAACAGGGAAGGATTGCTTAGTTAGTACAACGTGTGGTTACCATATTTGTACAATAAAGATGCCCTCCCTTGAGACTGCATTTGGACAGCATGCTAGTTTAGTTAATCAGGAGTTATTCCACTGTGCAAACTGGATATTCCACAGAGCTAGTCCCACTCAGTACGGAATTGATGATGGGTGATTCTGACTCTGTAGAGGGCAGCTCTTTCTATGTTCCTCCACATTTTATTGCTTTACCTTAATGGAACTGGTAGCTCTAAGCTCTGCAAAACATTTTGAAGTACAGCTCCCACAGTCCTTTGTCATGGGCTTTGATGACTGAGGGAAACTGAAGCCCAAAAAATCTGTAGTCACCAGTCTGACCACCTATTATTGGCCAGATTAGCACCATGAAACCTCCATCGTGTTCAGAAACAATATACTACTGAAAACCAGATGCTCAGGACAACAAACAGAGGAAGCCACATTTGTCACATCTTGCTTGTGAACACCTGGCTGCTGTAGAGCTTTCATTTATGGGCTGCACCAATTCAGACAACCACTAAATCCAGCAAAAAGATACAGCAAACCCTCTACTATTATCTGTTGGCTGTCTGGGTTGTCCAGATATGGTAACTATGCATACCAGAATGCTGAACTGAACGGATCTTCATTTGTCTGCTGAGTATGAGGCCAAATTCAGAAAGTATCGTATACTTAAAACATGTTTTGGTAATTAATCCTTGGGCTGACTTTAATCTCCCCAAAAAACAGTCTGCTGGTCCTGATAGACCCTGAAGGAAGTCCTTTTATAGTGGTAAAATGCACTTTTGTTGTTTTCTTGTAAGTGTATTAATAGTATCAGATGGCAATGGGAGAGAAGGAAACCACAAGAAGAATGTTCCAGAATGCAGGCCATGTCATCAACTTAGGGTGTGGGCCCTGTTGTTGTCAGGCTAAAAAAAGCATACCTTTCCTTTTTTTTTCTTAACTACAAGAAGTAAATATTCCATCTAAACCTCCATTAGATGCAAGCAAGAAAATCATCACTATGCACATAGAACACTGTGGGATTGTTCTGTGGCTTGGCAAGGATGTGCATCTCTACCTCACACCTTAGCAGTTTGCAAGACAGGGTAATTATTAGTGCCATTGAACATTGCAGGCTTTTAATTGGAGGAATGGGGTGGAGTTGGTCTGCAAAAATTAGCTCTCTGCCTGGTGTGCTGTCCAAGCTCTCAGTGGCAATCATGAGATATATTTGCAGCTAACAGCGCCTGCACTGAAGGTGGTCACTAGTTCATTTTCTTATTTGCATGTTAAAAATAAAGTGTTGAGCAAGGCATATGTCATGGTGTATATTCTTCTGGATAGGTGACTATATCATGGGAAGTGGGCCGAAACTTGTTGGAAGGGGGCATATAAAACCATTAAGCCATTGAACAATAATGATGTTGTGCAAAATGAGAGCATTGACTGCAGAGAATTATTGTTTGTCTACTGGATAGACCAAACCTTGTTTGGGAGAACAGAGTCCTATCGCTGTTCATTTCTCACAAGGTTTACTGACTGAGCAATTTTCTTCTTATGCAACAAGAAATGGAAACTAGAAACCCCTTTCAACTTCATCTCTAAATGCTAGTTGCTCTGGAAGTGCATGGCTTTTCCAAACTGAACCACTTCTCCTGCTATTTCATTTTGTCAATGACTGCAGTTTTATCAAATGACCATTTATCTCATGCATTCAAAAAGAAAGTGGTTTGAAGAAGTTCATCAAGGCAGAACAATAAAATATGGAGGAAGAGATAGAGATTTACCTCCTTCTGCTGTTTCAGTGTGGTCTGTGCTGAGTGGTACTGGATCAGTGGCTCCATGGGATTTCACTCAGGGACTGAATTTAGTCAAAATACTAGGATTACTTAATTATGGAATAGTGAATTATGCCAATAAAGCTAATCTTTCTATATCTGCCCCAGAGATGCCAGATATTGAAACTGGAATCTTCTGTAAGCAAACATTGTGCTCTGTCATGCTTCCTCCACCTCAGCTTGGTTTTTTTCAAAGATTCTGGAAGAATGTAAGGTCCAACAAAAGGATGCCAATCCCCCAGAAGAGCCTAATTTCAGGAAGGGCAATCATACAAACTATCTCCCCCAGCCTGGTGCCCTTTGACTTTACTGGAAATTGTGGGTAATATAAGCCCCAAACTTCTAGAGGGCATCAGATTAGGGAAAGCTTTTATAAACCATAGTAGTGCTGCTGCCTCTGAAGCCTGGAACTCCATGTAGAAACCACAATGGCTTGGAATAATTTAATATAGACAGATGGTTGTAGTAGGTTATTTCTTATTCATATGTCAAGACAGTGCCTATTTTAAGGGTATCAGATCTGGGCTGCAAAAATCCGGATGACCCAGAGATGGCCACAAAAAGATAGAGATTCTCTGTATTGTCATCTAGTGGTCATCTGATAGCACTCTCCTTTTATGTAAACAAGAGTTACCCTTTCAGTATTAAAAACAACAACTTGGAATTGTTATTATTGCTGAGTGATAATATTACCAGTTATGCCCTTTCCTGGATCAGGATGCCCTTCAAACAGTCACACATACCCTTGTTATCTCCCAGATAGACTACTGCAATGCGCTCTACATGGGGCTACCCTTGAAGAGTATCCGGAAGCTACAGCTGGTCCAGAATGCGGCTGTGCAGGCTATTTTTGGAGCCCCAAGAATATAATTCGGCCCATGTAATACCGTTGCTCCGCGAGCTGCATTGGGTACCAGTTTGCTTCCAGGTCCAATTCAAGGTGTTGGTTATCACCTTTAAAGCCCTACATGGCATGGGACCAGGTTACCTAAGGGACTGCCTCTTCCCCATGACGTCAACCCGTCCCACCCGATCACATAGAGAGGGCATGCTTTGGACCTCCTAGGTAAAAGAACTCCGATCAGGA